TGAGGGTGCCTGTGTCCCGCAGCTGCCTCCGTGCTCCCAGCAGTGACCCGTCCCTGACCTCTTTTGAGTCAGGCGCCCCCCCACGTCCTCCCTCCTCCCAAACCCCGGGTTCTTGGGTTCTTTTTCTGGATGCCTGGTGACCCCTGTGACCCTGTGTCCTTCGTCCAGGAGACCGTCCAGCTGGCTGCCGCCGACAGTGAGCGTGTTGGCTCTGGTGAGGCGGGCGCCACCTCCCGAGACTCTGTCTTCCCCCGAGGAGCCTGAGGCCGCAGCCCCGAGCGCCCCGCAGACCCACAGGTCAGGAGGGCGGCTTCTGCTTGGGGAGAGCGGGGGTCAGGGGGGTCGTGGCGCAGAGGCCTGGGGCCACGAGGTCAGCTGGTGACCAGTGTGACGCTGCTGCCTCTCAGCCCGTTTCTCTCTCGTCCGTTGGCGATGGTCTTAGGAAGACTAAACCTAAGTGTGTGAGGCCTGTGGTGCCCGGCGGGTGCCTGGGACCGGTCACTTGTTGCTGTCCTCCGAGGGGTCATGCTTCCCTGAGGGTTTTTCAGGTTCAGACCTGCTTCTACTCCAGAGTCTGGCCTCAGCCTGGTTGTCTCAGTGCACCGAATTAGGTTTCTTTTCTTTTCTTTTCTTTTTTTAAGCTTATTTATTTTGAGGGAGAGCGAGCGTGAGTGCAGGGGAGGGACAGAGAGAGAGAGAATCCCAAGCAGGCTCTGCACCGTCAGCACAGAGCCCCACATGGGGCTTGAACCCATGAATCGTGAGATCGTGACTTAAGCGGAAATCCAGTCAGCCGCTTTACCGACTGCGCCACCAGGCGCCCCTGAATTCAGCTTCTTGGCTTTTCCTTCGCTCAACGATTCTTTTCAAGTCCTTCTTACGAGCCGGGCGTTATGCTCTGGGAGGGAACGCGAAGGCACGGGCACTGGAGTCCGTGCCCTCACGGAGCTTGTGGCCCAGGGAGGACCCCGGTGCAGGAACGCGCAGTCCCGTGTGGTGGATGCTCTGCGAGGGGAGGACTGAGTCCCTCGGGGCCAGGTCTGGGGGTGCAGCTGTGTAGGGGGTACCAGGGTGATGGCAGCAGCGAGATGCCTGAGGCCTCAGTGGGTGGGAGGAACCCGGACTCCATCCTGGAGGCCCTGGGAGGCGGCCTGGGGGGACAGGGGCAGGGAGAGGTGAGCAGACCCTGC